AACTTCATATTGCTTTATGTTTACCAAAACAATAACACAGACTTCTTTATCCTTAAACGTCAGAAGTTCTAATTAAAAAACAATATGAAAATAAATATTGTCTTTGTTTTAATTCAATCTAACCGCATTTTCACTTAACATGTATTATTAATACCTATAATCTCCAAAGAAATGAATCAAGCTTAGTTACTCACGAATTTAGTAAACATTCGATTTGATATGGTGATCCGAAACGAATCGTATGCATTGCTGCAGGTATGAAGTTAAACGTTTCGGTTGGCTTATGATTCATACATTTATTGCTTTCAAGAAAGTAGGTAGGTCCTTATAGCACATTTGCAAAATTCAAACTTGGTTTTAAAAAAGTCTTTGTTTGAGAAAGTCAATGTAAATTTTGAAAAGAATGCTTCGTTCTGGTATGTATTTGGGTACTTATCCAATTTAGACATTATCTAATTCCTTAAGTAGCGTGTGATAAACACATTTTATGAGCTAATCATTATGTTCGACTAATACAAAGGTTATATCGATTGACTGAAGTTATCGATTAATGAAAGACATTAAACTCCATATAAGGTAATAGCGATCCAGTCTAATGAGTACATTTAAATGGACAGTGCCATAATAAATTATTTTCTGTCATCATCAAATTGATGAAATCGGTATTTGAAAGGAAATCAGATATATAATATTCGCTTAATTATCTGTGCCGATGATTCGCTGTACGAGTATCTTGCTGACATTGAAAGGTCGTTGACTTATTACGACGGACGACAGAAGTGGCTGGGTCTCCCTTCCCTTGCTGAGCTTTTTTATAACATAATCTATTGTACGTTATAATATACTACAAAAGCGTGTCGAATTACATTACAGAATACTAAAACAAAACAGAATAACAATGACCTAAAACACTACTTCCATATAAGTAAGTTTTTCAGCATTTTTCCTCTTAAATAATGCTCGGTGTTTCCCATATCAATATAAACACACATTTATCACATATTTGCCTTTTGAATTTTTATTTTTGTTCGACCTTTACTGTCGACTACAACAAATCAATGAGTTTATAGAACTGTGTGAGAGAGTGCGAGATGTTATTGTCTTCTTGAGTCTTCAGTAATTGGGATTGTATTTTGAACCAGTCAATATGGGAGGAGACATTGATAAGATCCAAGTTTTCATCAAAGTTATCCGTGAGGCGGATGCAAAGGTCCGTGGGTGGAGCCCCTCTACCCCGCGCCTCACTCGACTCGCCCATTCTAATTAGCCCATTGTGGTCGCCAGTTAAAGTTTGCGGCCGGCCGGCCGGCAGTCACGCCGGGGCCGCCGTCACAGTGACACGTACCGTTGCAATAGGTTTACACACAGACACGCGACTGTGATGACGATAAGTGATCGACAGTGCTCTTCGTTGATAAAGACTAAGTTTATCTCGTTTTGGTTGTACCATTATGTGAATCAAACTGTTGAACATTGACTCCACGTTTTTAAAGTGTTAGTGGTTGGCGCAGTACAAGGTAAAGCCATTATGATCTACTCGTATTCTGTTAAAACTGGGACCATTGTACGGCTATCAGCGGATACAACAAATCCATGTCCAAAGTAAGTAGGTTCCATAGTAAATAGGTATGCGCTTAGTCTGTAATCGAGTACTGGTTGTGTTTCACTAAAATACTTATGCAGTAACAAGTATTTTACTTGTGCCTAACAAAAATGCATATAAATTACTCATAATTAGTAAGAATACATTAAAATCTTGATTGGCTGTTAAGAGAGAAACGTTTATTTGAAATATACATATTAGTGTTCACCATTAAAAGTATATAATTTGAAGAAATTGATATAAAACCTGTCTTAATCTAGTAAATCTGCTCTCAGAGATTATATAAATACGCTCAACAATTAGTATATTTTATTCTGGAATACAAGATGTCTATTTATATCTTTGGCCATTTTATATTACAACTAAAGGTCTTTTTAAAACAAAATGCGAAAACTGACAATTTCAATGAAGAGCAACATAACAAAACATGTAACCGTAAAATCCACGCTGTATTTAAAACAATGCACTTTGCAAATTCTATACAGTTAAGTTTCAAAGGCATTATTGGTAATAGATGATTGATTATAATCAGCCTGCATTCCGTACAGGTATGCATACAAATTACATGTACTCAGTACCGAGCGTTTATTATGTAATAAAGCTTTCTTGTTTTCCCTATAATGCCACATACAAAATGATTGTGCATGCAAACTGACCTTCGGTAATAATGCTCCTTGATCGGCATGCAACGGTCACTGCAATGTGCTGCATCTGGCATTAGCCAGAACATTAAGGTGCATTATAAATGGACGGTCACCCGTGCATAGGAACTTGACGTTAATATAAGAAGGCACAAGATGCAATTTCGAAGTAGTGCGGATCGGGTGTGGCGAGAAAATAAAATCAATTTCAAAATGCAGAATAGTTAACCGTGAAAGCTGTTCTCAGAAGTGAGCAGTGAGCAGTGTAGTGAACACTGACGTGATGGGCATAGGCATTGCGGTATTATTTTCCTGCTCATTAATTTCGATTTATGTCGTGTACCTATTGACTTTTGTTTGTTGCACAATGGCGACGGACCGTTTTGCTTATCTTTATTGTTTACGAGGATACCGAAGTACATTTTAGACAGCTGTGCATCTGTTTGTTTTTGCATAAATGACCAATAAGTTATTCACGATTTGATCGACATATTTTATTAGTATTATTTTGACAACCACTCAATAAAGTAGATTTAGAATGTAATTATTAGTTTTAAAGCAAGCCAACCTTATATTAATTATATGTCGATATATCTAGTTGTAGTAGGTTTCGAAGTCAACCTTGTAAATGTAAGTTATCACTTAATCCTTGTTTTTGAGTGGTTTACCTTTTGACATTTTCGTAGTTGTAATTATAATAAACAAAGTGCGTATAATATTATTTTATATTTAGCTTAAATGTATTAAAATTAATTAAGAATGGTTCAAGCGTTTATAATGTATTTTCCTGTTTGAGTTTTGTAGGTTGGTGTTATGATTGGATACTTAATAATATGGAAAAAAATGGGTAACGGGAAAAAGAATTGTACTTCCTATTTATTTTTATTTGCTTTATCTAAGTAATCAACCAACCAATGTGAGTTTAGAAAGAAGAGTTCTTACTTGTAAAAAAATACGTATGCATATTAATGCAGGTGTACTTAAACATCGTAATTCAAGTTCTAACAAGCTTTATTCATCGATAAAATATCTAGCTACAATTAATAAAAGACCTCATTTATCAATCATAAGTAGCACAAATATTTGATTATGTACAAGTTCTAACAAGTTCATTTTAAAATTGAATAACAGATTCAACGAGACTGATTCAACTAATCTCGTCGCGATTTGCATTGCACACGAGTTCCAATATATAATCAAGAAATGTTATCGTTATCTATATACATGTTGTACCTATGCAAAATAATTTTATCTACCGCTTGTAGTAGTTTCATAACAATGAATTGTATCATATCCTGTGACGACAAATTGACACTTGAAAGTTTGAATCAGTGATCTAGTTGCGTAACAGATATAAGAACCCATTATATGAATGGTGTCCCTGGAACTGTGACGCCATTACTGCGAACTATGAGTCATCTCGTGGACCATGATTGACCTGTTCTCTATATCTCCAGTTGAATAGCTTCTTTTTTGCATCGACATTACTCATCGAGACACGCAGACCACTTACGCACACAATCAAAGGATACACGTAATAGCTATGACATGACTTATGTAAAAGAGCGATTTATTATTTTTTTAAATATATTATCAGTAGGCAGAGAGATAATGGTCACATTTTTTTATTTATCTCCAGTTTGAACCGATGTGACATGGGCAAGGATCGTTCTAGAGCACATGATGGTCATTCACAAAAATTTCGTGAATAGAAAACTCTACTATTGGATTTTCCTCATCCTCATTCTTTACTGAATAGTCAGAATAGGTATACCAATCAGTAAAGAATCGAAATCACAATTGTGCCATTGACCCAATAAAGAAGAAGGTTCACAAACTTAAAATACCAATTGCATGTCCAAATTGTAGTAGCAGTGTTTATTATTTTGTCAATAACAAGAATCTTGAAGACGTTATGATGACGCCGTGCCGGCCGGCGTAGCCATGACATCAGCACCGACCGCGTCACCACGCGTCATCCAGTGCGAATCTCGAACCGTTTCTCCCGCATGATAGGTTAAATCATCGCGGTGTCAACAGCCAATCAACAGCGTTATCATTATTTAAATCTTGTGTTTATGCGAATGATAAATTAGAATAATGTTTATAAATGGCAGATGACGTTACAATTCTAATAATTCTAATGTTACACAACCTAAAGATATCTGCTTTGATCATAGGAATATAGATTGATGTACACTTGGAAGCACTCGTGTGAAGTTAGAATTCGATTAATTGATCTATTTAAGGGTATTGCAAATATCTTGTTTAAATATCCATTGTTGAGTTAGGACTGTTGACTAACATATTTAGAAATCGTAGGCAAAAGCAAACAATCTACGGTACGGATGTATCGTAGGCGGGCCATCAATATGCGTCGAGCATGTCTTCGCGTTCGACAATCAGACGCGTGAGCTGAGTTTCTGATTAATAGCGTTGCCCTCTTACCGGACTATCCGATGACTCACGCATTGATATTACATTACACCGTCAATGGGTCCTTTGACCTTATTCAACGGGTTCAATAAGTGCAGTAAATTGTCCTTGTGCTGAATTTAATATAGTTACTCCGTTCCAAGAACCACAATAAACATAGTCTATGATGGTCATAAAACAATCTGTAGTGATTAAACATAGGTACTAAACCACACCTTTTGTATGGTGAAGTAAATTCAATAAGACCCTTCAATTTTAACTCAATTAGGTAACGTAATGACTTAATTAGCTTAAAATAACGAAAGTTCACCTTGTTGCAGATACCAGAGTTTTCGCTCGATGGGAGCAACAGTATAAAACAAAACGGCAGCGCCAAGGATCTGGTTTCCGTCATGGAAAACCTAAAGAAAGGCAATCTCATGTCTCGACAAAATCAGACTTTGAACACCCAAGCTACCAGTTCATCGACACAACAGGTGAGCCTCGTATTGATACCATTTTACATTTTTGAAACCACAAAGATATTGTAGTCCCCTACAATCACATCATCCCAATCACAACATTGCTCTTAAGTTTTCTAAGAACATAAGATGCGCAAGGATGAAAAAATAAATACACAGTTTTTGTATGATTTTTCGGTGGAATATGAGCCATAAATATGTCATATGGATGACGTCGGGGCTTTGGGATTTAAGTATAGAACAATGGATGGGAAGACCAAGCTGTGAAGGTCATGTAAGGTCATCGATGGCGAACAAATACACAACGAGAACTTAAAGTTGATATTAAACCCATCTTAGTTAACAGAAAACTTCTTTAGGTAATAAAACAATATGCGTTCCATGCTCTATTTTATCGCCAGTCTTACTATTAATTTTAAATGTGCGAATGTCAGTATAAACAATATTAATATTAACTACGTATTGTTCTGTACATTTGAGATAATGGTTTTCTATTATCATTTGCGGCTGGAATTACCCATATTGCATTGAACCTAATTATGAGGCCGAAAAGAGGTCGTGGCTGAGATTAAAGCCTCACATCTCATATGAACTCCATACTTTGGCAATTTTCAATACAAAAGCATATTTGTAACAGAAAGCAAAAAGGATATTGTCTGTTTGTGCATGTAATTGGAACGTTTGTGTATGTTATTAAGGAATAACATTTTCAAAATAAGGATTTGACGTCAAATTTTGAAAACCATTTTATCTTAAACATAATTTCGGGTTTAAATATAGGTAGTGAGTTATATTAGTCTCGGCCTCGGTTTATAAAACAGTGTATGTTTATTTTGAATACGCCCAACGCGAGTTACGGGAAAAATAAAATTTAACGCAAATGCGACTCCTCGTTGCCTGCGAGATGTACCTATTGTCGGCACTAATGACGGCGAGGTCGTCAGAATGCATAATTATTTCCAAGCTGTACTAAATTAGTACGCCTTTGTTTTTAAAATTAGCAGGTATAAAATAAATCGCAAGATTTATGACATTTTACTCTTGAAGTTAAAAGGATTTTGATCAAGTAGAGATATAGGTACTAAACTAGAAAATAATTACATTCGTAGCATGTTAAATCATAGAAAAATAAACACAAAACGAATGTCCGATCTGATATTAGCTGCGAATGAACATGAACTGACATGGCAGACTGAAAATTGGCGCAGTTCCAAAGAGTTCCTACTGTGACATGTTGTAACGTAGGACGACAGGCTACGATGTTTTACAACGTGCCCTAAGGGCCTTCTGTCATATTTGAGCTAACTCGAACATCACTTTTCTATCATCGCTCACTTATCAATCATTCAATACCTTTAAAATATTCAATTGTTTGCCATTTTGGTATGCTGTAGAAACATAATCAATGCAGCCATGGCATGTAGTAAAAGTATTAATTAAAGCATTGTTTGTCTTTAGACCCTGCTGTAATTAAAAATATGTTTTTTTCCGAAACGTTTTATTTTGGTATTATGTATCTGTTAGAGAATGAATAAATTGATGTTCTACATTTGTTTAGAATAGCTGCAAAAAACAATTGTGTTTCTCATGCCAAAACTTTAATCATCATAAGAATATCTACACAAAAAATCTGTACTAACAACAAAATTAACACGATCACCCACGCTATTTAAGACAACCGTCGCTAACGGGTCCACAACATTCAGAGTACCCAGTACGCGTGAGGTTCAAGGGCATGATTTGTTGCATCCCGCCCGCCCACACTCGGTGAATCATTTTTTCGCTTCTCAATCACAGTATTCAATGCCAAAATATGGGACTATTATAAGCAGACGTTTCGTTTATAGATAACAATTAAAGATTGCTTTTTATAGCACTGCTTTGTGACGAGTATCATAGTTATTTAAAAAATGTTGTTTATTTTTTAACACCGTAGTTATTTAATACTCCGTAAATTGTACTTGTATTTTAAGAACCCTTAATAGGTAACATTACAATGGGCATGTGTGTTGAGCATATTTTTTCAAACGTATGCTAATTTTAAAATGCCCCTGTTATTTCTGTATTTCTATTTTGTGTAACCCTGGCTTTATTTACTTCATACGTGTAGGTGCGCCAAGACGAGTGACGCCCAACTAACAATCTCCTCTAGCATTGGCACTGAACTCCTCTACAGTCCTAGTCTAGATAACGAGTTTGAAGGAACAATACGTAAAGATTGTGCCATTTTTTATTTTTGCGACAGATTTCTATAATTTAAATAGTTTAAGGTCAATACTTTGAACCCTTATTTTCATAGTTAAAAGCCATAGGTCATTCTCTCAAAGATCTTTATTTTCATTTTTTCAGATGGTGTCAAGTACGACTTCAAGCAGTGCCTCATCGAGCCAGAGGTTGCAGAGTTCATCGCAGCGACTTGCGCACATGGCTAACACTGAAAGGAAAGCGAGCTCCATGAAATCTGATCTTTCTGAACTTAAAAGCTCTATATCTGAGATGAAGACATTGAGCAACACAGCTGCGAAAAATTTCAGTCAAAGGTTAGTTAGCCTATATAGTATGGGTCAATTATTACAATGATTTTGTTACTGTTACTTACATAAAAAATCCATAACGTGCCAATATGTGTTTCATGTTTAGTCAATAGGTGTTAACACAGACGTTTTCCCGAGAACATAAAGATAGTTTTGCCATTACCCACGAACCTGTACATGCTCACCTGAGCGACCTTGGCTTTCGTCCAATTCCCACCCGCTGTTTCTCTACTCTGTGTTTGCAGTACCACGCCGACAAACAATAGCAACGCTAGTTTCCGCGCATCCCTTTTCGTGCTCTCGTGCGGATATCGCTTACATTAAGTAAAACAAATTGTTTCAATTAAAAAAGGCCACGTCAATACTTGTAGTTTTGTTTCCAGAATAAGAAGCTCAATGGAGAATATCGTTGATCAAGATGACTTAGCTGATCGGAATATGCCCGTTATTCGAGATCTGAGTGATATGGACGACATGGGCGATATTAGTGACATGGGAGAATTGTCCAGCGAAGGTCCCCTTGTTACTTTTCCAGAGTCTGATACGCCACCACCCATAACGGAAAAACCATCCCTGCTTTCCAGCAGTGGCGCTGTTGTTGGATCAAGCACAGCAAATGAACTTAAATATAGTGCGGCACGGATGACATCTGCAAGTTCTACACGAGTTGTTGCTGATGGGTACAGTGCATCACGGTCTGCATCCAACAGCACAAAAATGCGCAGACTACAACACGGTGATGTACAATATGCTGAACACAGTGCAGCTAGTGCGTCACACCGATTACTTCAAGCAGAAGGCCTTACTGCAGAACAAAACGCTGCTTCTCTACAAGTAAGTAATATACTGTTTGTCAATAAATGAACTCATAAGACAAATCACTTTTTTCATAAATGTTAAAAGTATAATTTAACATGATTGTTGTAATTAAGTAAAAAGTTAGCACAACAATAGGTCAAATGACTACCACATTCGAGCGTCTAGTTGTAACGTCTGCGGAGCCGAAAAGGCGCGTCGAAGGACGTGACCTCGCGTGAAAGCGACCGATCGATATCACAGAGAACCGCCTCCACCACGGGGCGAAGCGCGCAGTATTGTGGGATTTCTTGCTACGATAACATCCAACATGTGAATGTTTTTAAAATCACGCGATAGTTTTGTCGCGTACCATGGCTGCTCGAATTCTCGCGTGGACTGGCAGGATGCTGCGACGCGGAGGATCGCCTGGAGCGGTGAGCTCATTATCTCCAGGCGCTTATCGCCAAAGTAACTGAACCACGCTTCTCTCAGTCAGTGCCTGAACGTCGTGCGCGCGAGCACACGCGGAAGTCAATTATTGCGCGTGCGCGCACGAGTACTCGAATAGTCGGTTTTAAATATAGATACAGAATGTCTGCGGGAGGGGGGTCCGCCCCGTGGCCGGTACACCGCGGCGTCCTGTCACGCTTTCATCCAAGATCACAAAATCCTTCGGTGAGAGTACGTTTCCTCGGTAATTTTCACATACGACCTTCAAAACATGTGACGTGTGTACACAAACTTCAAAACTAATAGAAAACGCACGAATTTCATACGTTTGGCCTATATCCAATAGGAATTATTAGGACGTACAATCCGAGCCGTGACGCGGACCGCTGTCCAATATAAAAGTAGTTTTCATACTCCGGACCGAACGTGTCGCGACTTTATTCAAAAAACAACCATGTCTTCAAAACGACGTTCAAGACCTAAATTACGTATCGCTATTGCCGTAACTATCAAATATTTACTTTGTGAATCATGTGTTGTTTTAAAAGAACACTAGTGATTTCAGTGATAACATCCGTGTCTTCTTAACTGTGAACTGAAAACAGAATATTCACAATTATAAAACAACATTTTAAAATGATTTTCTCCATAAATATACTTTTAACTGATAATCGTACCAGTTTTCCAGTAAAATAAACGTGCTATTGTGTATTTTAGGAACAAAGATCGTTGAAAGCGGGCGAAGTAACAGCACAGGAGGCAAACAACATGACGACTTCCAGTTCAAGACTTCAGACTGAAGCTTTCAGTGCAGAGAAAATGGCAATGGCTACCGCACAAGCTCGGCAAACAGTTACCTCGAGTGGGATGTTTAGTCATAAGGAACACTCCAGCGTCGCTCATTCTAATATGACAATTTCCAGTAAGAACTTGTCAACCAAATCTACACTCCATACTTCCTCACAGGTACGTTATATTCTATTTGTTTTTCTACATTTATGTGGTGTTATCTAAAGTCATAAGTGTATTTATAACTGCTTCAAGTGATAGCAACTAGGTACACAATACAGACAGCATTATTTTTTAAAGTGTTCATGCCAATAAGTATTAATTGCATTAAAAGTTATTAAAATAACACTATTATATCGTTTCAGATGAGTCAACTATTGAATGGAGCAATCAAACCAGGAGATGAAGATCTAACTAATTTAACATTTGACGATTTAGATAAACTAAATGGAAAATCGAACCAAAAAGATGTAGAAATGGCTATCCAAAAATATTCATCTAGATTGAACGCCTTTATTACATCTATTAAGAATAATCAAATGGATATGAAAAATGCATCAATGCATTTCAACAAATTAAATGAAATGTTACGTCGAGCGTGGGCGGTGCCAACTTACGGCCACGAACTTGGATATTCTCTTTGTAACACACTAAGAGAATCTGGAGGTCTTGATATACTTATGGGCAATTGTTTGGAATATAGCAATCCTGAATTACAATTCTCATCTGCAAAACTACTTGAACAATGCCTTACGACTGAAAATAGAGCTCATGTAGTACAAAATGGTCTTGAAAAAGTAGTGAACGTCGCATGTTTTTGTACAAAACCCACAAATTCAGTAGATCATGCAAGAATTGGTACAGGGATATTGGAACATCTATTCAAACACAGTGAAAGTACTTGTGGAGACGTTATCAAACTAGGAGGTTTAGATGCAGTCCTATTTGAATGTAGAAAAATGATATAGAAACACTCAGGCATTGTGCAACAGCACTCGCTAACCTATCCTTGTATGGTGGTGCTGAAAATCAAGAAGCAATGATCAAGAGGAAAGTGCCGATGTGGCTATTCCCGCTAGCGTTCCATAATGACGATAACATTAAGTACTATGCTTGCCTAGCCATAGCTGTTTTGGTTGCAAACAAAGAGATAGAAGCCGCCGTCCTTAAATCTGGAACACTGGATTTAGTAGAACCCTTTGTAACTTCGCATAATCCTTCCGAGTTTGCACGATCAAATCTTGCTCACGCTCACGGTCAAAGTAAGAACTGGTTAAAAAGGTTAGTCCCAGTTTTGAGTTCAAAAAGAGAAGAAGCCAGAAATCTAGCAGCTTTTCATTTTTGCATGGAGGCGGGAATTAAAAAGCAGCAGGGAAACACAGAAATATTTAGAGAAATTGGTGCAATAGAATCGTTAAAAAAGGTGGCCAGCTGTCCCAATGCTGTTGCATCTAAATATGCTGCACAAGCTTTACGACTGATAGGGGAGGAAGTGCCTCATAAATTATCTCAGCAAGTTCCTCTTTGGTCCATAGAAGATGTTCGAGAATGGGTAAAACAGATAGGCTTCTCAGAATATGCAACAAACTTTTATGAAAGTAGAGTCGATGGTGATTTGTTACTCCAAATAAGTGAAGAAAACCTTAAAGAAGATATTGGTTTGCAAAACGGAATCAAACGCAAAAGGTACTAAATCTTTTAAATTAAAAAAAATGTCCATGAATATTTTGGATTGCTCTATTATTTGAATCACTGAATAATTTAACCAATTCATAATTATATTTACAGATTCACGAGAGAACTTCAGCAACTGAAAAAAATGGCGGATTACACTTCTCGGGACACAAGCAGTCTCAACGACTTTTTGCAAGGCATCGGACCAGAGTACACCATTTATACATATTCAATGCTAAACGCTGGTGTTGACAAAGAATCCATCCGAGGACTTAGTGATGAACAACTAGAGAATGAGTGTCGAATTAAGAATAGTATACATAGATTAAGGATTCTAAATGCTATTAGAGGTAAGCTAATTAATTAAGTAGGTATTTATTTTTAATAATAACTATCGTGAGACATACTAAATTATCTAAAATCACGGGTTACTCACGTGAATATACTGAGAAAAGCTCTACTAGTTTCGAACCACAGAGGGGTTCTTCCTCATGAGCAGCGTGCGCGGGCACATGTATTTAAGTGAATAATAAGTACGTAATCTCAAAGAACTTCGCACACGACATTAGATGACTAACAGTGGGTTCTATTTGTTTATCTACTAGGTGCTTCCATCTGGCACAAAAATGTTGATTTAAATATATGATTATGAGACTGATTTACAAGTTATAATATAATTTCCAATCTTATTATTTCAGCATACGAGTGCTGTTTGTTAAGTAAGGGTGAAGAAAATATGGAGAAGAATTTGGACGTGTTCGTTAGTTACCGTAGGTCTAACGGATCTCAACTGGCTAGTTTACTAAAAGTCCATCTTCAGCTTAGAGGTTTCACAGTGTTCATAGACGTGGAACGTTTAGAAGCTGGAAAGTTCGACAACAATTTGCTGCAGAGCATACGTCAAGCGAAACACTTCTTGCTTGTGCTTACACCTAATGCACTCGACCGGTGTAAAAAAGATACTGATAGAAAAGACTGGGTTCACAGAGTAAGTATAATTATCTTTTTTTTATAAGGTTGCATTTAAATCTGATATTTCAATCTACCTCTATAATATTACCTAAACCAAGTGTACCTAAACTACATGTAGGCGGCGTTTAACCAAAATAATAATTTTGCAGGAGATAGTGGCAGCGTTGCAATCACAATGCAATATTGTACCAATTATCGACAACTTTGAATGGCCTAAAGCTGAAGAACTTCCTGAAGACATGCGAGCAGTATGTCATTTCAATGGTGTAAGATGGATACACGACTACCAAGATGCATGTGTCGATAAGCTAGAAAGGTAAAATATATTTTACACGACCATAAACAAATTGAGCGTAATATATTACACAAAAACAAAAGATTCAAATCGCCTTTATATCAGTTCGCAAATTAACTGAAATATTATATTCCTTCCAGCTTCCTCAGAGGAAAATCCAATCTCGCTAATCGACTTGACGGACAATTGAGGGGTCGTGGGGATACGCAGACCCCTGGAACTGCCACCATTGGACGAGGACCACCGAACTATCAGCGAATGGCTTCCTGCGAGAGCAGAGGAAGCGATAAAGCAGATTGACTAGAGCCACCCATACACACACTGCCGCCTGTTAGGTATGTATGATATGTTTTACTTATCGTTAGCAAATATTCAGCTTTATATCAATAAAATAAATTATGTATACGTTAATTTAAATTAGATTTTATACCCAGCAAATTGAATCTATAAGACTTTATAATAAAATTTTCTGTTTTGATTTCAGACCACGAAGAAACCGCCAATCCTCCTTGGCAAAATCTTTAGCCTCCTCACAAAGCTGCGAACAATTACCTACTAGTAGTAATACTTCTAAGAACACGTCTCCTGAAAAATCACTTTATAGTCTACCTGAAATGTTGTCCGAAAGTAGTGATAACATAGGCTGCCACGAAGTAGAGAAACCTTCACGTAGATGCCGTAGCTGCGAAGGCATATTAGAAGCCGAGGAACAAATGCACACACAGCTGTCTTTGCCCACGCCTTTAGATGCTGCCACACAAACGAAGAGGAAAAGAAATTTCATGGACAGATGCGTGAACAAAGTGAGACTGTGTTGATTGATTGGTGTATCGGTTGTTCATAAACACATGAACAAACCAACACGCTGCAGAGTGTGTATGATTGGTGACATTATTGGACTTTAATTACATATTTATGTGAATCTAATTTTAAAGTACAAAGATGTGCACAATGTGTATATATTTTGTGTATGGCTATAATTTAAAATGTTCAATGTGTGTGTTAACACATTGCTATTGGTAATCTAATAAGATCGTAATCTCAATGAGTGCTTGTGAATTATTTTATACTGCTGTAAAACGAGAAGTTATCACCACCCTGCCATGTTTGAAGAGCATCGCACGAGGTGGCGGTATGATTGTTAAATAGGACTGTTTGCTATTGTAGTACCTGTAGCAAATTGCTTATCTGACTCTGGTAATATTTTGTTATCTCTCTATCCTTTCACTCTCTATAGATATTACAATGAATTTACTTATGTCCTATTTTATTATAAAATTAGTATCTTGCCAATGAAGTATTTGTAAAAAGCAAAATGTTACGAAATTATAATTCACATTATGTGATAGCTTAGATCTTCTATAATGTATAAAATATTTAAATAGATTTCTCGAAAATATCGATATATTGCTAGTACCTATGTACCTAATGAATTCATTTCCGCATGAAATAATTTCCAAACTAAGTAATATGTATTATTACTTGAACCTGTACAAAATTTTACTATAGATGTAGATTTTATTTTAGTCATTTTATGAGTTAACCTTAATATAAATCATTGTACTCCGTCAAACCTTGTATTTATGTACTAGCCTAGTTCTAACCACGAAATAAATGGCATTATTAAAATATAATTAACAACATCGTTTTATTTTCTAACGGCCTGTTTCACAATATCTGGATACCTGAATTAAGAAGGTAATTTGCATGAACTATCTATCACATAAGTTTATCAGGTACTTAAATAGAGGTGGTATCCGGCGCTAAGTGTATTAATGTTTATGTAAACTTTCGTGAGACATAACTACTAAATTAATTATTATGTTTTCAGCTTACTCAAACAGTTACGAAGTAAACCGAAAACAATAATTAATTTATAAAAAGGTTACTTATGCCGTAACAGAAAGCTTACTCGCTGATTTAATCAAAGCAAAGGTTCACACTCTTGTCAACCGACTTCAAAAAAAGGAGGAGGTTCTCAATTCGACTGTATTTTTTTTATATCTTTTACTCGATTACACAAAGACGCCTGGACCGATTTCAATAATTCTTTTTTTATTTGAAAAGGTAGGCTTGTCATTTGGTCCCATTGTCATCAAGTCAGGATCTGATGATGGAATCCCAGGAGAACCTATGGGAACTTATAAATATTATAGGGGCAACTAGTGCAATTGTTATTTTTTTATTGAGTATTTAAAACCACTACTTACAATCTGATGAAGGTCTGGAGCCAGTGGAGGGAACTCCTCAACAGTTAACAGTAGCTACCATGTGTTAGGGTTTGATTAATTTGTATTGATAAGGACTTTACACTGAGAGAACTCCTCAATGGTTAACAGTAGCTACCTGGTGTGGCTATAATTTGTATTGATGAAAAGTCTGCACCCATGTGGGTTGTAGGTACATAAAATAATATAAGTATTTATAGTATTAAACTAAAGTGTAAATAAAAATAAAAAATTGCGTTTAAAAAAACCGACTTCAAAAACCAAAAATAAACGAAAAGTAATAACTAAAAAGCAAAATATAATTAGGTATTATTGGTCATACGTATCTACTTATAGCTTACACACCCACTGGTAAGTTAGAAGTCGGTGCCATGTCGGTGTCGCGTCGGCGATATGTATAGCGCTCGGCGGCCGCTGCCCCGATTCACCGCTCGCTACACTCGCGCGTTGTGAGGGTCAAAGGTCAAAGTTCTAAACTAACCTAACCAAATGTGTCGGGGTGCCCAAAAAACTTTGCTAGAATATTTAGATTTATTAAAAGCAATTGCAAGTAATTTAGGATTAGTATAACTGTTTTCTAGTTCAAAATATACCATCTGAACATTCCATCAAATGAACATACCTTTTGATCATTAGCGAAAATGTTACAAATAAATATTCGACGAACTGAAAATTCTGTCAAACGATATTATAAGTGATGACTTTCATAAACGTTGTTTGATTTTACTAGGTAATAATTTATCAAACATTGTTTGATCAAACAATAGTGAGCCCGAAGCAAATACCAATAATATCAAAGGTGCCAATCATAGAACAACACCTTTCTATTGCAATAGTTTTGTGGGGCTTAACTTAAATTATTAATAAATGAATAATAAATATTTAGTATTGAATCTGTGGTTCATAGAATAGGTTGGTAAACTGATTTTCCTATACAGCAGGTTTATCTGAGTTTTACTTTTTCATACTCAACTAACTGTAATTGAAATAAAAGAAATCTTTAATCACACAATAATAAGTATATTTCTACAATGAAACCATTGTATTACATAAAAAGACATGCAATATATAATGTGTTATAATAACATTATTCTACGATAATATTTTAACTACAGGATTAGGTACTTAAACATGAAACTTATTGTTACAATAAAGTCTTACATTATTATTAATGTTACATAATGATTATGTAACATTATTAGTTGTAGTTAAAAGGCTAATTTTATTCATCTGCTGCAATTTTTTGTGATATTGAATTATATACATATTCGGAATCAGCAAATTTTTGTCTGTTGAATTATGTATGTAGAGTGTAACCGGAACACACTCGAAAAATGCCCACAGATAAAGAACAAGTTACAGTTTCATATAAAAGTAAGGAATTCAATGTTTCTTTTATGTAATAATAGTTGTAATTAACTGCTCAAGGCTGATGTTGCATGAATAACACAAAACAATTTGACCTGAAAAAACAATTTCTTTTTATCAGCATTTTGGGAGTATTTTGTTTATACCCTGTATAACTCAATATGGCAAAAATATGCAGCAACTGTCAATAAGACTAAGGTTACATATTTCTACATCTATAGTCTCTACATTAGAAAAATCATACCAAAATTGCTTCCTAATGCAAAATATTATACAAAAACTATTTTGCATTATCTATACATACCTATAATAAAATTGTAGGAAAGTGAGAATTGTACATTGAATATTTTCTTAAAAGAATGCTTTGTGTGTGATCTACAGTTGACACCAAAGCCAAAAATATGGTTTTTAGAATTTATGTCTGTATGTATGTCCGGGATGAACTCAAAAAGTGCTGCATGGATTTACTTCAAATTTTGTATAATATTACTAACAGGTAGTGTCAACATATAGGCTACATATTATCATGCAACAGGTCTTCCCCTGCAATAGCAGGGGAAGACCTGTTAATCACTATTTCAGGCAAACAAAGTTGCGGGCAACAGCTAGTATTTTAATAAGACAGACAATGTCATAAACAAAAGAAATTAGGTATAATAAGGTTACAAAAAGTAGAAGCATACCAGTTATTTATGAAGGTTTCTCAACATATATAGAAAGAGAGCACCCCTCACATACAACAATAACATTAAAGCTCACTTTAAAATTCCTTAACACGTAATTACCACCACATCTACATGGATAAGTATAAGCGTCTCCAGTTAAACTCATATCTTTTATAGATATAGAGTCATACAACAAAGTTTCATCATTCTCCAGACAAAACAACGCTGCATCGTACTGTTTTCTCTTATAAGGATCCTTTAGAACCGACCATGCTTTCTGTACTAGAAGAAAATTCTCTTTTCGATTGACCATTTTGTCTGGATGCGAAGATAGGATTAAACGCTTGTAATTCTGCTTTAATTCGTCTGTGGAAGCGTTTCTGTCGCACTCTAACACTTTGTAGTAATCTGTAAAGGGTTCCTCCATTTTGTCCAATCTAATTACGTGAAATAATAATATGTGCCTTCGATCTAGTAGCTGTTTCGACTTCTGATTTCAGTTTCTGTTTCTATAATCAGCAGGCTTTTGAATGACTAAGAAAAGAACATTACCAACAATGAAAAGCTTTAAATGGCTGTTTATGCACAATCAATCAACAATCATTCACAAAAACAATTGAACAGAAAGTAATATCCCACTATACTTATTATACTCTTTGAAGTAATGGTCAAAAACGATCCAAGACGAACACAGGTTAGAGAAGCTAGAATTAACTAAATATTAAAGTAAAAAATTGGGTAACTATTGGCGTCGCGTTCGCCACTAGGGACACGAAAAAAGTATCGAGTCGATGCTTTGTGGTAGGTATCGATCGAGTACATTCCCATTCAATACCGATTGGCGATGCAAAGATTATCCGCGCGCCTCTAGCGGCGAAATTTAGAAGTTGTCTAAGAACGACATTTTGCTATAGTACGGGAGCTAGCAACGTTTGGAAAGTAAGCAAATAAAATATCTAGACTTAGCTCACGAGGTTGTCGACATGTGGAATGTGGATTCGGCTATCATTGTGCCGATAGTCGTGTCGGCCAATGGGTTAATCCCTAAAAGCCTCGACATCCATCTCAGGAGGCTGGTGTTAGGTGGATGGATCAAGGGCCTGATACAGAAGGCAGTTCTAGAAACGGCACGTATCGTGAGGAGGTTTCTGTCTCTGGAGCCCTAACCACCGGTAGCTTGGACCATGCTCCCGCTACTGGTCGGGTCCTATTTTTTATATTTTTAAATATATGTATATTTTTTTTATTTTGTAAGTAGTATTTAGAAATATGATTTATAGAGAATTTTAAATAAATATATGAAAATAATAATACATTGTAACCAAATTAAAAAATAAACATTAAAATCAAAACAAAAACAAACATGTGACATTAGACTGACGCCATCTTGCAAACTTGCCTGTCGCACCACAGTCGTTGTCTATCTCTCTCGCACCTTCAGCTGTCTCTGTCGGACTACTAGCATTATACTGCAATACTTTTCATGACTTTTTCATTTTAATTCAAGACTTAACAATCGAATTAATGTCTGGCAAATTTATTTTAAGTTTTTTTATCTTTAAATAACATAATATTAAAATTACAGACATTATAAAATACTTTGAAATTTTGATAAAACAAATTAAAAAAATCGCGTATGGCACATAGTTAGCATTGTCAAAAATGTCTGGCAATAAAAAAAGTATTTCAGGTAGACATTTAAAAACAAAAAATTAAAAATTACGCCTTCTAAAACGTTTTTAAAATCCAGGATTATTACCTGGACAGGTAGGATGCGCACTAAAGAACGCAACCGCTACCGCCAGCCAGATAGCCCAGACTCTAACCGAAAGTGCAAGAAGGACGACATATCACAAAATCAGCTGACCTAAAATTCTTTCTCGAAAACGTTGCTAGCTCCTATACCATAAAGTTAATAAGTTTAAACTTAATCAAATGGATCACGATTACATACAGAAACCTGTTTGTTTATTAGTAGAACCACAAAATATTGTTGCGTTCCTCAATGTGATAGTTACGGAGATTCGGGAATAAGTTTTCATTTTAAACAAAAGACAAAATTATGACTCAAATAAATTTTCTTCTTGTGTGGAAAGAAGAAAGATCAGCTCTCTCAGATTTACTTAGCAATGATATAATATTTATTTACTTTTACAGGTATTCATTCAAATAAACTTTTACAAACATTGGTGACTTGTGTTATGGAATTGGCCTTAAATGTTTCAAGAAACCAGAAAATGTTATCTGTGAGAGACAGAGTTATTTTGACAACGGTAAAAATTAAATAAAATATGTCATTTAGAGCCATTGGTTTTGTTTGGTATAAATAGGCAGCATATTATGTTCTAATTATTTTAATAATATGTGCCCCATACTGAGTAGAGTACTTACTCAAAGTTGTTATTCCTTGGCCTGATAACGAACATTATTTATAACCATGGTAAAAGCAGCTCATACAAAATGTAGGTAAGTCAGGACCTCACAAATATTGATAGAAATTATTTGAAAAATTTGGGTCATTTTCTTATGTCTGGTGACGTGGTAACCAATTATTTGTATATGCAATAATTTGACCTATTTCTAACAAATTTTAACATTTTATACTGTGTTATAATTTTAGTAAATTAATAATGTAAAAATTATCGATGATATCCAACATCCATTTTCAGAATTTGATAAATATTGAACATCGAAATAGAGCTATCGATTATGACATCAATGTTAATATCGAAGTTATTCGAATATCGAGCATCCCTAAATTTGACAATGACAGTTCGCAGTTGTTGACATAGACATTGACAAATAGCAGTGGACCTGGACTCCGTTCCGTTGTGCATAGCATAGATAGAACATTAACAGAAATTTATTTCACATATTCACGTATTTTTCCTTGTCATTCAAATACTGGCGTGATTTCACGATTCTTTGGATCACAGATATAGAAAATATCGTAGTTTATAGCATTTACACCTAACACCTACACTTGCAAGTTTAGAATTTTGGATTGTTGTAATTTGTATTGCCTATGTTGTTTGCAAGTTGTTTGTCAACCTAACACTAATTGACAATCGGTAGCTTCGTTTTTAGGTTAGGTCTATGGATATCTACAAAACTTTACTTAAAAGCGAAAATATTTGTAGTTATTTTCTAATGATCATTCAATCATATTAACTTTTGTGTCATTAACGAATATTACATGAAATTAAACTCACATAATGCCAACTTGGAATCAAATTCAATCTCAGCTTCGAAACCCAAACAATCCGGTTGTATTTTTTGATATAACTGTTGGAACTACGGTAAGTACTGGTTTTTGTGTACAATATTCATGCAATCATTTATTTATTCAAGAATTTCAATCAAATTTATATTTTCTGTTTGTTTTTCTACAGGAAATAGGGCGCATGATTTTTGAATTGTTTGCGGATGTAGTGCCCAAAACAAGCGAAAACTTCAGAGAATTCTGTACAGGAGAGTACAGAAGAGATGGTGTGCCACTTGGTTATAAAGGAGCTACATTCCACAGAGTCATAAAGGACTTCATGATTCAAGGTGGTGACTTTGTCAATGTAAGTTTAAAGTTTTATTTTAGCCTAACTATCGCCCAACCATAGAGAGAAACAACAATGAATTATTGATACTACATAATTTATTTTGTTTTAGGGTGATGGTACTGGTGTTATGAGCATTTATGGAGGGAGCACATTTGCAGATGAAAACTTTGTATTAAAACATGATTCCCCAGGATTACTGTCAATGGCTAATAGTGGTAAAGATACTAATGGCTGTCAATTCTTCATAACATGTGCTAAGTGTAACTTTTTAGACAATAAGCATGTAGTGTTTGGGAGAGTTATAGACGGACTACTTGTTATGAGGAAAATAGAAAATGTCCCTACTGGACCTAACAATAAACCAAAAATACCAGTAACAATATCACAGTGTGGACAAATGTAAATAATAAAAAATATTTTTAAATAAAAAATACATTTATTTTTTTAACCAGTAACAATAGGCGAAGCACTGCTTCATGGTAAAAACATTCATAAATGTCACATTTAATCACAATCACAAATTTAATACAAGTAATCACAATAAATACATTTACACTATGGTAATTTGAACTATAGTCTATGTGGTAGTGTCATCAAGTTCTGTGAGAACTAGTATTCAACAGTAGATTTACAGGATGTATGGAAGCCGGTCCATACCGTCTACCCACTTCTTGTATAAAAGCACTCTCCATCTGTCGAGCAACTTGGTCAAAGAATATATTCGACAAATGTGAATGGAAGGCCGAGCGGAATTCGAAACTAATTTGGAAATCAATAACACAAGACTGTAGTTCTCTTTTGAGCCCAGGACTAAATCTCCATAGAGTTAGCATGTGATGGAAGAGCTTGCCATCCTTACATTCTGCTTTCACTAGATGTGGTTTCAGCAGGGTGACGTTTGAAGTGTATGACTCATTTATTGGGGGAAATCCAATGACTAAATCTGCCTTTAGATTTTGTGTATTCCTCTGTCTTACTATAGACTTCTTGCACCATGGAAGAAACTTATGGTAATTATCAACATCCGAGACAACCTCGAACATTTGATCCATGGTATGGCTGAAATTAGACAAAAGACAATATGTTTAGTTTTTTCAGGAGCTGTCAGTTTATTACTTAATTTTTTTATTTCCAAGTATGTATTAACTTATACAGAGTTCAAGTAAAAACTATGTTTAAATTTCAAAATAAATATTTTAACAATGACTTCAAGGGGCATTTGTAAAGTTAAGATTTTATGTGCTTCTAGAATGCAATATAATTTATTATTACTGTTTAGAATCGGTTCTTGCATATTATGAATATTGCTGTGGAAACCCATATTAAACTGGATATAATATAATATTAACCCCAAACACAGATCTAAGCGAGACACAAAGTGTTATCTAATGTGTCTAATATACCTACTGACATAACAAGTACTTATAGTGATAGCTGTTAAATATGTTAATTTAATACCTGTTTGATCACTGAAATGCAAATAATTTAGAATGACTGGTATTATGCAAATGCTTATCTACTTGTCTGAAGTCATTATCCTATTCATTGACTATTGATACTATAAATTTAAAGCACCTTTTGAGTAAGATATGTGTTGCAGATGAAATTATTAGAAAAAAAAAATAACACATGGCCAGGTGACTCAAAAACTTTTTGTTAAAGTGAAACTACTTCCAAATAATGTTACTTACCCTACCAGCTGCCTTCCTCGGTATTCACGGACTCTGTCTTTTTTAGGAAAATTAAATAGGGTTCTTTTCTGTTGCTCTGTGCCTTGACATTGACATCTAATTTCATCATTTAATCTATTTACGTAATGACCCTGAAAACTACAGGAAGAGGAATTAAATACTTTAAATTGAGATAACAGTAAGATATATCAACAAGATGATCCACACAAAATATGAATAAACCTTTCTAGAGAACAAATATGCATTTAAACCTTATACACTCACCTGTATAAACCATGCTTTTTAAATAAAATTCTAGCGCCGTTTTTTAATAAAACCATTTTGTATAAATTATGGCAACTTGTGTGAACTAAAGAAACAATAAATTTAAAGCATTTTCAATAGGATTCCAAAATAGTTACTTATTTTTTTCTGAGTAATGTTTTCTTTCCGACTTCGGAGTTCGAGTTTTGGCGAATTTTTTTGACTAGGAACTGTCAGATCAGATGTCAATGTCATTACAATTTTGCAACATGGCACGGTAGTAAGAGTTGCCAATTTTTAAATTGAAAATGTTACCAATTTAACTGAAAAATCAAGCAGACGATAAAACAAGTATCATACTGTATTTCATGTAGTTTCAAAAATTCACAATTCACCTTTAAAAATTACAAAGTCTGAACTTCTTTATAAAATGTTTTCTTTTTAACTAAATATTGAATCACAGAAAAACACATGTTAGTACGAGTATAGTTTTGAATCTTTAATATGGGGACAAATATGCATAGTCTAAATCCAGAATAGCTGAAAATATACGATTGCTTTTATTTTACAAACTCTTTTCTAAAAATAAGACTTGTGTTTAATATTTATAGGTCTTAATTTGTCTATTTATCAGTGAAAATCAAAGAGGGCGCCACAAGTCGTAATTACCAACCCAAGACATCCAAAACTAACACAGCACAAGACATTAAATCGTTTATCACTTCTAACAGATAAAATATAATCAGTAATACAGGCTAGATAGTGGTCAAACGTCAGTCCCATCCAGTCCCATCTAATAAAAAAAAGTAGTAAGTTTATTTTTAGGTTAAGCAACACTATTCATGACTGTCACACACTGCCAATGTCAAATCACAATTAACATCAACCTTTGAGAACACGTGTGGTTTATTTGAAATCGTGCATGGTGATAGTTATATAGAAACCAACAGTTTTGAGTTAATATACAGTTTTGTTGATGCTATAGTCAAATATTATTACTGTAAGTATATTTAGTTTGACAAAACCATGGGTCGCAAGGCGAAATTTGATGAAACTAAGAAAGTGAAAAAAGGACCCGGCAGGAAAGCTCGCAAGCAGCCCGACCCTGTATTCAAAAAAGAACTGTGTAAGTAAACTTGTATATCTATTAAATCCTTAAAAATCATTTCAATATAGAGAAATGGTCACCAATATTTAATTGGAACAACATGTAATTTATGTTGACCACAACATTGCAGCACTCATTGCAATATCATGCGAAACGATATTGCTTAAATGTTATGTTTTAAGTCTAGAGTCCAATCATAATAAAATTTGTTTATCTTCACCATTAACTAATTCTAAATAGTTTATAAATGCAGTTAATCATATGATTTATAAGGTCAATGCTAACCTAAAATACTTTAGTTCATCATGAGCCTACTAAATATAAGTGTTTCCCATAATCTCCATGCTCATTAACTTCCTTAGTATTTCCAGTACTTAGTTTCAATTCTTACAAATACATTATTTATTTCAGTGGAAGATGATACAACAGAAAAGAAACTAACTCATAGACAAAAGCAAAGAGCAGCAAAGAGGGCAAAAAAGAAGGCTGAATTAGTAGAAAAGAGGAAGGCACTGAAACAAGCAAAGAAAAATGTTGCGAAACAGAAAGAAGTTACTATTAACGATGAAGGAGATAACAGTTCTGATGAAGAAACACCACAAGGTATTAAATATTTTTTTATTTCTTCTTGAGGCTTTATTTGATCTGGCTTCCAATTGTCGAGGAAAAAACCATAACCTAATAGTAATTGTGATGTTCAAAAGTACAATTTGTCAGCAAAATCAATGGCTTTTATTCAAAGTCAAAGTCAAAATCATTTCAATCAATCACTGACCAGAAAGAGACTTGAATGTCAAACAAAAAATCTAGTGTCTGTCTGTCGATCAGTCCTATAATGAAGCTATTTGCTCATTCTAAAGTATAGATTCCTATGGAGAAGAACAAGCAGGAAACTCCTTGAGTTAATCTTTTTCAATCAGGTTCACAATACAATTCTTTAGATACATAGTTTTGTTGATTCAATTGTATTTCCTGAAGGAATAAGCAATAGTAGGGTAGACATATTAGAAATAAAATATGTCTATCTAATGAAATTAAGAATTTAATTCATACTTATATTTTAAAAATATAATACAAGATAAAGCTATAAGTTTTAATATAATAATAAGTATTTTGGTGATAGGTTTCACAGATGATAACAAGGAATGGCTGAAGCCTAAACAGAAAGGCAAACAAAAAGAAAAAAGTAAACCTAAAACATATAAATCAGAGTCTGAAGATGAGGTTGATGAAGAAGATGACAGTGGCAATGAGGATGATGATGGATCAGAAATGGAAGTTGATTCTGATGATGACACATCGGGAAAGAAGAAAGTCGGGGGAGAAAAGTATAAGGTTGGTATGATCTGATCGTTTAATACAGATGTCATGTCACTTAACTTTTTTAATTTCCAGGCAATAAAAATGTTATTATTTACTTATTTTTCTAATGCACCACAATAAGCAAATCTTACTAATTATTATTTTAAATGCAAAAGTGAGTTTGTGTGTATGTTTGTTACTCAGTAACAGGAATAGATCATAGTCTGGATTACACATAGGGCACTTTTTATCCCATACAGAAGCTAGTCAATCAATATGAAACTAACCATGCACAATAATTGTTTTCAGGTTGGAACATTGGATGACTTATTTAAGGATTCAGACAATGAAAATGGAGAAGCATCGTCAGAGGATGAAGGGGCAGACAGTGGTGGTAAATTAGAATATGATTCTGACTCAAGCGCCGCTGAAAAGTATAGTGATGAAGATGAAGATGAAGATGATGATGATGATGATGATATGTTGCCCATAGAAAAAGCTAATATAAAACTAAAGAAAAAACAAAAGATTGACAAACAGTTAGCTGATGAAGAATTGCAGTTAAACATTGCTAAACAAGATGTATTTGCTTTCCCATCTGAAGAGGAACTACAGAATCCAGCTAGTCTCCAAGATGTACATCAAAGAATTAAAGATGTTGTCACAGTTTTGGGAGATTTCAACCGCCTAAAAGAAGAAGGCAGATCTCGTTGTGAATATACCGATCTACTTCTAAAAGACCTGTGTACATATTATAGTTACAATGAATTTTTGATGGAAGTACTCATGCAAATCTTTCCAGTCCAAGAACTGGTCGAATTCTTGGAAGCCAGTGAGACCGCGCGTCCTGTGACTATCAGAACAAACAGTTTAAAGACCAGAAGACGAGACTTGGCGCAAGCTCTCATCAACAGGGGTGTCAACTTGGATCCTGTTGGTAAATGGAGCAAAGTGGGTCTGGTTGTATACAGCTCTACAGTACCCATTGGTGCAACTCCTGAGTATTTGGCTGGCCACTATATCTTACAAGGAGCATCTAGTTTCTTACCTGTAATGGCTTTAGCACCTCAGGAAAATGAGAGGATATTGGATATGTGTGCTGCACCAGGTGGAAAGGCGTCTCATATCGCAGCTATTATGAAGAACACTGGCACATTATTTGCCAATGACGCTAATAAAGAGAGGACAAAAGCTATTGTTGGTAACTTCCACAGGCTGGGAGTAGTGAATGCTGTTATTTGTAACCATGATGGTAGAGAGTTCCCTGATGTAATGAAAGGATTTGACAGGGTGCTGCTGGACGCTCCCTGTACTGGTACTGGAGTTATCGCCAAGGATCCTAGTGTGAAGACAACAAAAGACCAGAAGGATATCCAGAGATGTTTCAACATACAAAGACAATTGCTTCTTGCTGCCATTGACTGTTGCAGTGCTAAGTCTAGTACTGGTGGCTACATTGTCTACTCAACTTGTTCCATTCTGCCAGAAGAAAATGAATGGGTTGTAAATTATGCTTTAAAACGCAGGAATGTGAAGCTGGTGCCCACTGGCCTAGACTTTGGTACTGAAGGTTTTGTAAAGTATAGGCATCATAGGTTCCATCCCTCATTGAAGCTGACTAGAAGATTTTACCCTCATACTCATAACATGGATGGTTTCTATGTAGCAAAGTTAAAGAAATTCTCCAATGTTATTGTAAGTATTGACTATAGTAGTTAATGTCTTAAAAATGTGTCAAGTGTAAGTCTTTCTTAGTAACATGTGTCTATTATTTTAGCCGGAGCCTTTCAAAGATGAAGACGATGAAGAAATTGACGGTAAAACGACAGAGAAAGCCACAGAAAATGGCGATGTTGATGGTGATTCGGATGAAGAAAAACCAAAATCGGAAAGCAAGAAACCTGTGAAACGACCCGCTTCAGCAGACAGTGCTCAACCACAACAAAAGAAAGCTAAGCCTAATGTACAAGTTAAACCTAATGTACAAGCTAAACCTAATGTACAAGCTAAATCTAATGTACAAGCTAAATCTAATGTACAAGCTAAATCTAATGTACAAGCTAAATCCAACGTAAAAGCTAAATCTAATGTACAAGCTAAACTGAAAGGACAACCTAAACCAGCTACAGAAAAGTAAGTTATATCTCTATATATTACTTTCTGTCCACTCTATAGCACATTCGTTGGTGAGGGAGGATTACGTGGATTTTTTAAAACCGCGAAATAAAATAAATCTTTGATTTACATAAGAGTTTTTTCATTTCTGTAATCACTATGAGATACAAATAGACACAGAACACGACTCATAAGGTACAAATTAATGCTCATCATCCCAATTATGTACAAAATAGGGAAATTATGCTTAGACAAATTACAAATAAAAAATATTTGTCATATTAGATCGATATATCCTCAGAAATAGGGTAGTATTTCAATTATTACATATGACACAAACAAACGGGGCAAGCTAAATACAGTGCCATATCAATACTCTAATAAAATATTAATATTAATAGTAGTATGGCATTGGCCGAGTGCATCTTTCATCAAGATTATTCTATCTTGAACAACACTTTTACTACATAATTCAGTTGGCATAGCAAGCTATTCATCGCAAGTATAAGCTGAAGTATTGAAAAAAATTTTTTAACCAATTTTCTTTATTGT